CCATAGCTAGGATAGTGGTAGAGAGAGAGAGAGAGCTTGGGCGGAGGCCAGGGGTACCTACCTGCAGCGCCGTTGCTCCAGCTTCGTCTTCAAGGTACCTGCAGCACAGCGCCACATCACAGGTTAGTAHCWGGTTCGTAACAGTGAGAGAGAGAGAGTTCTTCTTCCTCTTCTTCTCAGTCCACCATCTCCTTCTCTCCCTCTCAACCCTTGACTTCACTGCATTTGCAGACTGCTAGAGAAGAGATACCGAGCTTGGTGATATCGGATCCAAGACTCGACTTTTTGGGATTCAGACCTGACAACGAGGGGTTATTTGGGATCGGTGACAAAGACTTGGTGTTAACAACACTCCCATCTTCCTCCCTCCTTTCGTCTGATCCTTACCTCTTCGTCTATGCATGTCTGGACCTGGCGCTTTCTTCCTGTGTGCAGCGCCAGGCTCCTTCACACCTGGTGAGGGGTACGATGCATGTTTGGTCTGAGTTCAACCATCGGTTGGACTAGTTATCAACATTCTAGCAGTCTGTTTCGCTACTTGCTACTACGTGTGTAAGGTTAGTCCTTGTCAGGTCAGTCTTTGTATCTAAGTCTTCCCTGCGCTATTCAGCACTTTTRTATGTATGAGAATGCACAYTGTCTGTCGAGATTCTACTCTCACCGCATTGTCGATTTCAGTCCTTTTCGTCACATTGCAGTTCCTCGGTTATTACAAACATCACATATCTGTGCATGTAACACCTAGCCTACCGCTACTGGGCCTCTAAAAAATGCCAACTTTGTCTTCTTCTGCTCGGCCTTGAGTACCCGGCACATCTACTTCAACTGGGTGCGTTACCGGCCTACTTGCTATTTGAGTGTTTTTCCGCTGCTCTAAGCGTCGCGGGCCTCTTGCTCCGCCACTTGAGTGCTTTCCCTGCTGCGACCGTGAATATCACGGGCACAGGTTAGTACCGGCCCTACGGGCCTTCAAAACAAGCAAGTACCCTTGCGGGTCACAAACACACTCATGCCGACAAACACTCAGACAGGCACGTAGGTCACCAAGCACACACACACACACAGACTTACAAAACTCAACAGAATGTGGGAATCTCAGCAAGGCATCCATTCCATCGGCAGGACTCAGAAATCAGCAGTGTTCTCAGTGTGTGCTATGGCGGGTTATTACATAGACATGATTGCGCTTACTGGGTTAGAGTGAGAAGGCCGGTGCGAGATAACCAGGATTAGACAGAGGAACGGGGAGAAGAGAAGGGATTGCCTGCGGTCTGCATACCTGGATCGCGGCATGGGGGACTTAGCCATGCTCCACACATCGATCCCAGCACGCATCATCTCGACCAATGAGAACGAACAAAAGGTAGGAGAATGTATGGGCACGAAACGAAGGCAGAGGGGAGAATATGCAGTTACACATGAGGGACCAAGAGAGAAGAAGGGCGGGATTGACGGTTGAGATCAGAATTAAGGCGCGTGTAGCAAAGCACGTGCGAGCAAGAAGCAGCATTCAATTACACTCCCGGTGCAGCGAGCCCAAAATCCTATGCTAATTGAAGTCCTATTTCTGCAGCGAAAATCGTGATTACACACGCGGAGAACCACGCAACCCAGATAAATTCAAAATTCAAAAATTCAGCCCGCGCGAAGGTCGCGCCAAAAGCTCCCAACTATCATTCCCAAAATTCAAGAAAAGGGAAGAAGAAGACATGTCAGCATTTTTATTCCCGCATGCTAATGCGCGTCCTAACCGCCGAGCACCCAGAGACCCGAATAGAATTTGTGAAAATATCCTATCTACCCAGCAAATTCGTTCCGAATCGCATTTCTAAAAAATTAAAACAAAGTCTAAGGCGCAGCAGCGTAATTAGCCCCGTAATCATACATGGATCCAATTCGGGCCTGCCATCAACTGCGCCGAAAATTGTGCACTCGCAGAAAGTAGATCGTCACACCGGTCCTTGGGCGTAGCCAGGTTGTTCAATAAGTGCCTCGCACTCATTGGCCATACGACTACTTTATGTGCTCATGTGCCAGAGTTCAGGCCCTATACTTCATGCAAGCTGTCTGCCGACTTTGGACCCTCGCGTAGCTTGCCCCTAGAGTTTCACCCCCCGAGGATCAACCTGACAGGGATAGGTTCTACCAAGGTTTCCAGGGCCCCTGGCAGGCATGAAACCCTATCCTCTCCATGAGAACCATGGGGAGCCTTTCATCCAGCAGGCTATACTACTTGTTAAATGTACAAGTGTTCCTACTCATAGATCTAATTGTCGTCGGCTGCAAAGACAGCAACTTATTCCAAGAAGAACCAACAATTTTCGAACATCAGAATGCATGAGAGCCAGCAAAAAGAGGGTTCAGAGATTCTGCGAAAATTCACTTCGTCAATGGAAGTTGCGTAGTTCGCTCCTTGTCGCTCCACTCGCTCGGTAGGTTCCCTTCACCCTAACCACTTCTCCTTCAGTCCTCCTCCTTACTTAATTCTCACCACTGTCAATTGTGCCCGCCGGCCTTAAAAGTCAAACGCCGCTCTAGAAGACGATGAGAATCTGCTGCTGCATTGCCACCAGCATGCATGAAAAACTTGCACACAAGCCATATGCAATGGTTTTCACCTGCTAGCAGTAGCGAATGCAGATCCCAAGGTTCGATCCCTAGTTCTGACCTTACCTGTGTACGGTATCGAGTTCACGCCTGAGTGTTTGAACCCGTGATACAATGACTTGCTGTTTTCTGGTCGCCTGTAGCCTTTCTCTGTCGAGGCTGTACTATAGGTAGGACAGATTCACAATTTTGTTTGGTTGAGGGCTAACTGAGAGACCTACCCGTGAGGGAAATTCGTGAGGGATATATCTGCAAATCCGGGTGAGCACAGGCCCGGTACTAACAGGATTCCCTACAGCTACCCTAACTGCGTAAAGCAGGCCCGGCCTACCCTTAGGACAGACAGGCCCTAAAGGCCTATTCTGATAAACGGTCCTATAGCCTATAGACGGGTCCGGTAGAGGCCGAGAGGCCGAAACAGATACGGTACCGGTCGGTCAGTC